TTTCATCTGCATGTGCTACAAGCACATGCTGTTTTTGTTGCTGTTGGTGTTTTTAGAGTCGATTATTTTGTCCAATTTCCTGGTGTTTTAGCTAAAGTATTAAGGTAATTAGTATTTGTGAACTTCTATCAACAACTTTTTAAAGAACGAAGTAGTAATTAAAGGAAAAGAAGGAGAAAAATTTAAAAATAGCTTCTGCTCAGTTACTAATAATGGTGTAACTAATTATGCTATCATTCAATGTAGAAAGATTTTATCAAACAATTTTGTTAGTACTTACACAGGAAATATTACATTTAATCAATTTATTCATCACATATTATCCTATGATTAAAATGAATAAACATTTCTAAGTATTCTGTATGGTCTGGAAAAGGAGAAGGTCCATAGGGGCTGTGATATCAACCCTAGTGACGTCACTGCTGGGTTCAGAATGAGGCCTGGCTACATGCCACACTTTAGGACCAAAGAAGCATGCATAGTTCTGACAGCAGCAGCAGAGGCAATGTTTTCTTCTTGAGGATTACTCTGCACAATTTACTGCCCTTTTGTCAAGAGTGTAACATTCAAAACCATGCTAATAGTCATGGCATATTCATCCTTCAACCATTTTATCACTGGATTAACTGATCTTTGCTGACAAAACTAAGAAAGGACCTGGTGAGGAAAAGGGTGATGTTCAGAGTAAACAACTGATTTGCAGAGGGTATTTTTGGGCAGGCAGTTGCAGTGTTTGACACAGATTTTTAATCAAATGATAAATAATGAAAATGAAGGGTAAATTCCTCATCAGGTATAGCAAAGGCTACAAAGTCATTGTAGGTAAAATGGATAACTGAAGCCTCTATACAGTTGAGTCCCAAATGAGGGCCCTCCAAAATCTTTTCCTATTTAACTAAAGATAAGTCCATCTTGTTTGGGGATGTTAGGGAAAGGCTGAAGGGAGAAGATGCTCCACCTGAGGCTTGATGAATGAGTAATTCATGAGGTACACAAGAGGAGAAAGAGATTCTAGACAGTAGTATGGAGATGTGGAAGAGTTGGGATGGCTAGAAGGTATGAGAGTAGAGAGAGTGAGAAGGCCAAAGGGATGGCTAGATCCAAAGCCTGCATATTCCACAATAACATGTAATAGGCTACACCACTGCTAGTAGTGACATACTGGGAGAAGAGCTGCTAAACGGTGTAGTGTGCTGAACTGCTTTTACATGATCTTTCTCATCACAGTCATGTGACTTCTACAAAATGATTGGGTAGAACTATGCAAGAAAGGTGCTTGTGGCCCATAAAGGGGATTGGACAGCTAGCTAGTAATGCAAATAAGGTGCATGGAACCCCTGTAGGGGGTAAACTGACTCATAATGACATCCATAGGAGTTCCAAGGCTATAAATCTTCACAGTAGATCACCTCATTTTGCCTCATTTTCCTCCTCTGAAGTAGCTTGTGGGTTTGAACCACTGACCTTCCGGTTAGCAGCCATATGCCTTACCCACTGCATCACCAGCGCTCCTTATAGGTTAAGGAACCATGCAAATAGAGTGTATGGAACCCAAACAAGGGGATTGGTCACTTCTGGCATCCTGCTAGGCTTAGAAGAGAGCCAATCCCAGAGCAGAGAGGGAACCTCCTTACCACCAAGAAAAGACAAGTGGACTTGAGTCCCTGCACTGAGAACCTTCTAGACCCAGGAGCAAGAGAGAGAGCTTTAACAGTGGAGTTGCTGCAAGACGGGGAGAAGCAGCAGCAGAACCAGGAGACCAGTGAGAGATGCAACGGTGGGCTTCCTGGCCCCCAGAGCAAGGTGGCTACGGTGGGCATGCCAACCCATGGAATGAGAGCGCTGACAGCCTTTGGGAAGGAGGCTTCCTGGTGGAGTGGCATGACTCTGGGCACTTGTTGACTGAGCTAGAGCTTTGTAACACTTGTCTGAGCAGGGCAAAGACCAGATTGAGGGCTAAGGGGCAGAGAGAGAGAGAGGGAGGGAGCCAGAGCGAGTGAGAGGGCTGCCTGAAAGCATGGCTGAGAAGCTGTCCTGACCAAAGAACTGTATCCTGAGTTGTTCCTGATACTGAATTGTAACCTGTCAGTTCCCTAATAAACCCCATAACTGTGAGTATGAACTTTGAGTTCTGTGTGGCCATCACAACAAATTATCAAGCCCAGCAGAGAAGTAAGGAGCTCTGGTGGCACAGTGAGTAAGGCATTTGGCTGCTAACCAGGACAGTGGTTCAAACCACCAGCTGCTCTGCTGGAGGAAGATGGGGCAATCTACTTCTGTCAAGGTTTATAGCCTTGGAAACCCAATGGGGGTCACTATTGTTCAGAATAAACTCGATGGCAGTGAGTTTTTAGAGTTTTTTGAGCAGAGAAATCGAGTCATAGGAAGGACGGCTGGTGTCAGAACTGGTGAAAAGGCTGGAGGGTGGAAGTATGTCTGACCTCCACCTCATAGCAATCAGCCTTGAGCTATTGTTATTGATAATGATTTTCTTTCCTTGTGAAGTTACAGGAGGTCAGACACCACTACCATGCCATTTTTGCAAGTGGAATGAAGTTGAGTCACAGACTGCCAGGTGTGTGGGAAGAGTCCAGGGTCTTCAGTGGGCCAGGAATTTCTGGGATAGGAAGCTGTATTGGGAGACCACAGAATTTATTACAAATGGAAGTTTGATAGAAGATACACTTGGAACCTAGGGCAAGCCAACAGTAACTGATGGATTTTGTGTTTCTATTCCTTTGAGTGGTTCGGTCATCTGGAGGTTCCTCCTCCCCAGCCTTAGGCTACAATTTCTGAAGAGACTTGCTATTGGAATAATTTCTTTCTTGTTTATTATCACTTAGACAGAATACAAACAGCACAAGCAGAAACTACAAACCCACATGAGAATAAATTATGAAATTCATATTTCAAAAGTAGACAATATGAGAAGCTGTGCTACCAAGAGAGCCTCCTGGTGCAGTGTCCAGAACTTCACAAGGTGTTGGTAGCCCTCAAGAGTCCATGACAAATCTTCTGTAGACATTCAGAGCCAAATGTCCTCCTCTGAGCGAATCTAATGAGGCCCAAGTGCTTTCACACCATCATGTACACACACACAGCCACATAGGGAGTTGGAGCAGGGGGAGGTTTGTAAACAACAGCCAGCTCAGCAACAAGCAAAGTGGACCCAGCTGTGCTCTCCCTGTGGCTCTGCTGGCAGATGTGTGCCTGGCACTCTCCCATCACTAACTTCCTGGCTCTCCTGAGAGGTGCGGGTATGCTGTGCACACCTCCCCTGGAGCAGTAAACGGAGGCCTGCTTCTTGAGCGAGGAACTCAGCGCTGTTGTCCAGGACTGTAGTGTAAGCACACCTCAGCTTTCATAGACTACCCTTGCTTTACTCTGGCCTGCCAAGCCCCTCCTGCCACTCCCAGAAGAGATGTGTCCTTGTGGGAATCCACTGAACTTGGAGTCACATGAATTGTGTGCAAGTCAATCTCTCTAGCTGTGTGATGCTGGGGAAATTATTTCACTTCTCTAAGCCTTAAATCCCCCATTTGTAAAAATGGGAACAGGGGTGTATACGTTACAGGCTTATCATAAGAAATTAGTGAAATTTGATGTTGCCAAGTCTTGTGCCAGGCTCAAGGTTCAAAAGCGGATTTCTTTCCTGCTGCTTTCTCCATTATTATTCCATTTCTTCCTTTGTGTTTCTCAATTTTCTTTTATATACTGGTTTGTGGTCATGTAGCCTTAATGGCACCCAAAGTACCTTTTATTTTTTAAAAAAGTTTTAAATTTATTTTGTTGTTGTTGTTGTGAATATAAACAGCAAAACATACACCAATTCAACAGTTTCTACGTGTACCATTTAGTGACACTGATTACATTCTCTGAATTGTGCAACCGTTCTCACTCCCCTTTTCTGAGTTGTTTGTTCTCCATTAACATAAATTCATTGCCCTCTACAGTTCCTATCTCAGCTTTCGAGGTTGCTGTTTTACCAATCTGATTCCATATAGTTCTTAAAAGAGCATAATGCTCAAGGCAGACATTTTTTCACTGGTTTTAGGAAGACTTCAGGGGACATTTTTGAACTAAGGTTTAAAGATTACCTCAGGGCAACAGTTTCAGGGGTTCATTCAGCCTTCAGGCTACAGGAAGTCTGGAGTTCATGATTAAAACACCTCTGATTAACAAGGTCTCCCTTACCCCAACAGATTGCTAATGTTTTCTTCTGCCCAACCTAAAACTTTCAAACCTATGAACACAGACTGTGCCACCGGGAGAGCCCAGGGCTGGGCTACAGGGCCAGGAAAAGGGCTGGACTTCAGGAAAAGCTTGAAGTGAACCTAGGAGAACTATCTGGGGAGCCTGAGGGCACATGGAGACCCTGACTTAGGAGTCATATGGTGGAAAGACATGAATAATAGTGATGTAAAGGTGGCTCTGGGCTGAATCTGGCCAGAAACTGAACTCTAGGGTAGGTGCTGTACACAACTTTTAGCAGAAGTAAAACCACCGTCTTCCAAGAGTAGAGAAGCCCAAGGATGCAGGAGATTTATCTTTCTGGCAATGTCCACCAAAAGGCCACTTTGATGGGTCACAGTCCACAACTCTGGTTCTGCAGAGAACTTACATCCTTTTCTCCATCCATCTGTCCATCTATCCATCTGTTATGTAGTTTTGTAGAACACAGGCTGAACAGGACAGAAAACCCTATGTGCTCAGCCAGCACCTTATTTGTCCAAGGAGTCAATATCTTCTTAGTCATTCAGCTGGAATCTTTTACAGTAATGCTGTGAGGTAGTAACAAGACAGGCAATACCCCTCCTTTTACAGATCAAGAAGTGCTCAAGGTAACACAATGAACACAAGTGTAGCATAGTTAGAACACAGTAAGGTCCAAATGGAGGGTACTGGTCTGTTCCCCTAAAAGCTGGAAGCCGGCTCTCCTCCTGAAGCCTTAGTATAGCTTCTGTGGGATTAACCTGCGTCCAGACCAGCTTTGCTGCTTTTCACACCAGTGTGGGTTTCAAGTCATCTTTGAAGTTCACTATGGGCTTTGAGTGGGCCCACAGCTTTTCCCAGGAAGCCAGCCCCCTAGCAGGTTCAGGGTCAGTGTCTGATGTGCCACTGTCACTGGAATCAGAGGAAGTCTGGAAGCAGATTTCACAGTAGGGCCGGTGGCAGTGGCAGAAGAACTCATCTGAGCTGCTGGACTCAGTGTCAAGGTAGCTGCATGGAGAAGACATCGAGGGACAGGCTGGGGACACAGGAGGCTGCAGCTGCTGCTGCTCAGGCAGGTCTGGGGAGGCTCTGGACAGGCATCGGGAAGAGGGGCTTTCTGCTGGGCCAGAACAGGGAGGCTGGTAAGGAAACGCTGCACCACTTCCCCCAACCCTTTGGGGCTCTGTCTGACACTGGCTGCTGTCCTCCAGGGTAGCTGGCCTGCCTTGAGGTTCTGGGAATAGTGAAGGCTTCCTGGAAGCTGGTGTTGGTACCCTGGGATTAACTGCACGGTGGTCTAAGCTGTGGCTGTGCACATTCTGCATATTCAGCCCAGTCTGGGCTCCAGAACCAGTCCTGTTTGCCCGACGCCCCACATATGAGGGTACAGAGCCTGGAAAGTGTGAGGGAGCCCGCTGGGCTGCCTGCCTTCTCTTCATCATGTATGGGCTAAAGCCTAGCTCCTTGAAGAAGGGCATCTTCTGGGGGCTGTGGGCAACACTGCTCTTCAAGGGTTGCTGGGGACAAGAGGAGGAAGAGGGGAGGGAAGCTTCTGGGCCCAGGCTCAGATCTTGTAACACTTCCTGAAGCTTCTCCCTGATCACTGAATTGACCCTTGGCAGCCACTCTTGTGGCTCCTCCGAGTTCTCCAGCTGCCTCTGTCTGTGGGGAACAGAGACTTCACCTGGTATGTGACTCTGGCTGGGGGCCATGGGTACCTGGCTTCCTCCTTCAAGACTCCCATTCTGATCAGCCCTTGGCTTCTGGCTACTGCCCGAGTTTAAATGATCAGAAAAGTTTTTTAAGTCAGACATCTTCTCCTGCCCTGGGGAGGGGCTGGGTTCCTTTACAGGCCCCCCAAGGCTTTGTATACTTGAAGAAGGCACTGAGGTACTCTGAAACTCCTGTGCAGCCCAGCTGGTATTATTCTGAGAGTCACAGAGGCCTTCTGAAGGCACCTGTGCTGTCATGGCATGGCCAGAGGCTGCTGTCTGGATGCCTGTGCTCTGGAAAGAGGCAGCAGGCTCAGTCCACTCTGGGGAATCAGAGGGGCACTCAGCTAACATCAGTCTCAATAGCTTCTCTTTGGCATTGTTTACTTGTTCCTGCAGGCTTTCAATCACAGCATTTTTCTGGAAAAGAAAGACAAAAACATCAACAAAAGATGCCACTGGGGTTTTCACACTGTCTCCCATGGTGGAAGAAAGTGTGGCATCAGAAGACCTTGGTTTAAATCCTGGTCCCTCCACAGTAGCTAGGTGACCTTAGGCTCTAAGGAGCCACTTCAGAGGGTGAAATGAGTTGATGCATGTGAAGTACTTAGCACAATAACTGTCATATCGTGCTCAATAAAGTATTAATTATTGTTATGATTTTCATCTCCCTCTTCTGTCCCCAGTGTTGTTGGTGAGAAGGGAGGTTGGGAGAGGCTGCTGGCTTGTATCCTTTCATCTTTTCCCAGAACTGAGATGGTCAGGTCACTCTGTGGGACATCAGTTTGAATCATGTTGGGGATGGTCCAACTCTGGGCCTATCAAAATTTTGCAAAATAAAGACGAATTTGAGGCACTCCTCAAGGGGATGAAAAAATGAGGAAACAAGTATTTCGCCTCTTGCTAAACAGCCTAGAAGGTCCATCAGTGGCAAAACAGTTTGTGCTCGTCTACTGACCTAAAGGTTGGCAATTTGAACCCACCCAGTGACACTGTAGAACAGCCGGGAGCTCTGTTTCCATAACGATTACAGTTAAGAAAATCCCATGGAGCAGTTCTTTCTACAACATGTGAGATTGCTGTGAGTTGGAAATGACTCCATGGCAATAGTTTTTTGTTTCTTAAACAGCTTAGAAAACAGGTAGAATAGGGCAAGGATGGAAATTTCTGGGCAAAGAGACAAGATGAGCCAGGAGGAGCCAATGAGAGCCTCAAGTTGGTATTACAACCTCCCTAGGCCGGACCTTTGGGGCTGTGAGGCCAAAACTATCACACAGCAGTACCAGATAGACATCTTCCAAAGAAATGTGTGCATCAGAATTACTAGAGAAGCTTTTAAAAATGAAAATAAGTAAAAAGGACTATTGGGTTTCAACTCCTGAAAGTTTGATTCAATAGATCTAGAATGGAGGCCAGAAGATGAATGAAGTTGGGGCAGTTCTGCTACTGAGCTGCCCACCTGCTGCATGGATATTAGTTACTAAACAGGTTGTGCCTGGGAAGGCTCACAGGTGAGAGTTATAGGGGTGTGACAGTCCTAATTGCACAAGACTGGGAACATCAAGTAGCAGGAGTATCGGCAGTGGGTGTAGAGGGTAAGATTGTAACCTGAACATCTTTCTATGGTACAGAAGCTGATTCTGTGGTTCGAACAGTATTTCTACCTTCTAAGATTTCTGATACTCAAGGGCAGTGCAACAGGGATGAGATCATCACAGGGAAGTGGTGGTCTTGGATTATTAGATGACATGGGGTCTAGAGTTTGGGGAAGGCAGTAATATAAGCATTGTGTTTTAAGAAGTGCTCATCCAAATACTATAACACCGACTCTTTGTTGCCATCCTCTTTAGATGCTGAGGAATAAGACCATCCATTTATTATGCTTTACAAACAAAAACACGTTTCCCTCTGTTCCAGGGCAGAGTTGCCCAGAAATGATCCTTTCAGGGAGCAGTAGCTTAAGGAAAACAGTCCAATTATCTTCTGGCAACAATTCACAAGCAGACCCACTGCTCCTTAGTCATAAGCAGGAAGGTGATTTTCCTGATTACTGGTCCTGCCAATTTCATCCTTGTTTTGCTTGACTTATTTTATCATCAGGAGAGAGTCCAGGACAAGTTGAGTAACTAGTGAGTAAGGCAGGGACTTTCAGTACAGCACCTGCCTGCCTGCTCTCCCTCTTTCCCACCTGCAGAGCCATAAGGTCTGGGTGTTGCTGGGTGCTTGCCTATGACTGACTCAAGGACTCACTGGGTGCAGAGTGGATGAGTAACAGTGACATTCAGGCTGTTTATGATAGCTGGGTGGTGCCAGATACCTCTCTGAGGATCTCACAGGGGTGACTGTGATGGCTGCACTTAAGGGACCCTCATCGTCTTCACCAGCTCCCCTCCCCTCCCTGAAGTCCTCCCTCACATTCCCATGCTGGCTCAGCCAGCCGCTGCTATCTTCCAGGATTAGAAAGAAGCCATCAGCTGATAACAAGGACCCCAGCTGGGGAAATCTGAGTGCTGCCTATTTTGTTCCTTATCCTTGAACCTCTTGGAGCATGAGGAAACAGTGTAAATACTGAGTTGGCATAAATATTTTTCTCCCAGCAAACCAAACATCTGAAGCTGGCTGGTGATGGATTTAGAAATGTCCTAAACAGTAAATGTCCTTTTGTTTCCCAAAAGGAAGTGGGACTCTGTTTGCACCACGGCTGCATACTAATGAGAGGTATGATGTCATGCAATGCTATTAACCAAAAACCAAACTCACTGCCGTGGAGTCAGAGTCAACTCATAGCGACCTCTCCTTGGGTTTCTGAGGTGGTATGTCTACGGAAGTAGATTGCCCAACCTTCCTTCTGAGGAGTGGCTAGTGGGTTTGCACCGCTAGCCTTCTGGTTAGCAGTCAACTGCCTTAGGCACTACGCCACCAGAGTGCCTCGCAGTGCTATTGGGGGACCAAAATCTGACCTACAGGGCCACTGTACTTAAGTGAGCTTATTAATTATTACTTTTGCATGTCGGGGAAAGCAAAACATCCAGAGGCATATTTCATAGGGTTCAGGAGTGTTTTTATGATCCAAGGAAGAAAAGTAGTGAGTGAGTTTCTTCTGCTACAGTGTATAGAAGGGATGCTCTTCAGCCTCTGGGAAAGCTCTATCTACCGGCCTTCACACAGCCTGGGCAGTCACTTACGGATGGTGCCCTGGCCTCAGCCTCTGTGAGACTCCTTCCCGTGGGAGCAAGAAGGCAAGAAGGAGAAAATGGACTGCCCAGGTCACAGGAAAGTAAGAAGAAGGTGCCGGGGTGACTGAGGAGGCTGTATAGGAGGGAACAATAAACTGAGAAGCCGGAGTTAGGGTTTGTGTACACACTGAGACAGTTGTATATCTAATGGGCATCTCAGGATGTAGATAATGAAATCTGTTCCCACTTTCTGAGGGGACCTCTCTAGGCCTCCCACAGGGCCCTGGGACTGGGTGCTGATTCCCAGGTCTGTTTTGGGAAAGATGTTCAAGGTGTAGGGTATGGCGAGGAAGCATGTTTCCTAAGGAGCTCTGGTGGTGTAGTGCCTAAGGCATCTATCTGGCTGCTAATCAGAAGGCTCATGGTTTAAACCCACCAGCCACTCCATGGAAAGAAGACTGGGCAATCTATTTCCATAAAGATTTACCACCTCAGAAATCCAAAGAGGGTTGCTATGAGTCAGAATCAACTTAATGGCAGTGAGTTTTTTTTTTTTTTTTTTTTATCAACTCTATCCTAACAGGGCCCTTCCTCTATGGACTCGAGGCATCATTTTGGAGAAAGCAGATTCAGTCATTGCGTGGGAAACAGGCTAGCATGGCAGAAGTACAAAAAGCACATCACAAATTACCATAAGGCTAAAGAGTCAGGCCACTTGGCTGTTCCAACATTAGTGGATTGTGAATGAAAACCATCCCGGCTCTTCTAGCCAAGTTTCTGGCTGGCTGTTTAGTAGCACCCCCCCCCCCCAATGCTTTGAAGACTTCACAGTATCAAAGGGAATGCTACTCCCTTGCCAGGTGGGGAGAAATCTGGCTGTGACACAATGTCCTGAACGCTTCAAATGATGGATAAAGAAGGTCCAGAACCAAGGATATGGTAAGAGAGGGGCACAGAAGGTGAGTGCCTGGGGAGGTTTAATCCCTTCATCCTCAGCAGGTCTGCTGTGTTTGTTAGGTCCCCAGCACACTATCCTCTCACACAGGGACTATTAATACCCAGGTGGTAGTCCCATTACAAAAAGCATGGTTTCTCAGTGGCATCTACTCATGTATGTGCTGTACTTAAAAAATACATAATGTAATTTAGTTAGTGTCAAATACTAATTCCCCTGGGCTCTGTGCTTTCTTCCTGAGAAAAAGGAGCCCTTAAGCTTTCCATACACTTTCTTTGAGCTCACCATACTGTCTAAGTCTGGGAAAGGTACCAAGTCTGGTTCAAGTACAGGGGAAAAAAGAAAAAAAAAAAAGGTGGGGCCGCCTGGGGCCTCTTGGTTGGTGCTACAGTAATAGTCAGAGGTCCTTGTTCAGTCTCCTTCCCAATCTCTAGACATTACTTGACTTTCTGTGAAGACAAGATGACTAATATTTTGAGTTATTACCTGGAAAAGACAGTATGGGGCCCCATAAGATCTTGCAAATGAGGGCACTCCACTATATAAAGAAAGACTGTATCACACAGCAGCAGCTAGTATCCACTATGACTTGGGTGCATTACAATATTGGTCCCTCTGCTTGCAGTATTTTCCCCCATACTCTTTGCCTGTCCAATTTATAGTTAGCCTTTAGCTTTCATCTCAGAGACGCCTTCCTGACTGTTGTAAAATTTAGGTTTCCCTGCCTTCACCATCCGTTCTACTGTCTTAGCATCCTGATTTTGTCCTTCATAATTCTTACCAAATTTATATATTTACTTGATTAAGATCTGTTTCCTCCACTAAATTGTGAGTTCCATGAGGGTTTTGTTCATCAGCACTTAGCACAATGCCTACCACATAGGACTGACTCCATATACGCCTATTCAATGAATGAATGAAGAGGGGAGTGGGCAGCAATGGGAGAGTCATGGAGGAAATGCTGAGTTTTTGCTCACTGCTAAAAGAAGTATGTGAGCCTAGGAAGCAGGAGAATGAGAAGAGAAGACAGAAATTGTCAGTGGGAGTATCCATGGCCACTGGTGCATGAGGAGGCAGATGACTGGAGTTCCTTATGGAGAATGTGCCAGGTAGGAGTTAGCTTACTTCAGTAAGGAGCCTTTCCATGGAGCTTTTTTCTCCTCTCGAGTGACAGTTCTGTTCCTCACCACACTGGGTATGGAAGCTTTTGCAGGGAGTGCTGAAATATTTGGCCATGCATCTGATTGTTTGGTTTTCCTCTTCAAATGCCTTCCATTGCTTCAGCTGTTGAATAAAAGAACACATGCTATTTATTTAATTACACACCCTGAAACACATTCTCTCACTCTTTCTCATAAACACCATGGAATGACAATGTCACAGATACACATATGTTCAAAATATTTTCTCCTCAAAATGAAATCTCATTCTGGAAAGCTCACAGACAAAAATGACAGAAGGTATAGGGAATGTTAAGGTTATACAGCTTTACAAAGTGCCAAAGGAAGAAGATGAAATATAACCTTAGCTGACCCATTTACCTACCCATTGCCAAACTGGTCAAAGAAAACCAGTGATGAAGTATACTTCCAGAGCTATATTCTAAAGCTAGAGTCTAGGTGCTATGACATGAAACTCATATGAAACTGTTTCTAGTTGCATGAAGCTGTTCTTAATTATTTCTCATTTGTTGAGTAATGGTGTTTAGTAATGGTGAGTAATCAATACTCAAGGTTCAGACAGATAGAAAACCATAAATGCCAATAAAAATGATAGAATATTAGATCTGAGATGTGATGATCTCTCTTCTATGACAGATAAGGACTCAGAAAAGGTGTGACTCATCCAAGCTCATACAGCTAGCTAGCAGTAGAACCACAGCTGTCCCAGCCCATTTTGTCACCTATGTATATCCTCATACAGGTGAAGAGAGGGAGACTGTTCACTACCGGGGTCTTAGAGAAAGTTTTTCAGCAGAAACTGGTTTTAAGGAACAATCTGTGGAAGCATGGACTGGTTTACTGTAACAGGGATGGAACTGAACACAGGACTTTTACAAACAGTGGTATACCCCTGAGCCTTTGAGACACTATCTCTAGCTGGTGAATGCAGTGATATGAATGGCAGGGAAGGCTACAGTATCTGAAATGAAAAACAACAACAAAAAAAAACCACTGCCACTGAGTCAATTCCAACACCTAGCAACCCTATAGGACAGGGTAGATTTCCAAGGCTGTAAATCTTTACAGAAGCAGTCTATCTTATCTTTCTCCTAGGAAGTGGCTGAAGGGTTTGAACTGCCAGCCTTCTGGTTAGCAGACAAATGCCTTAACCACTGTGCCACCAGAGCTCCTTCACAGTATCTAAAGCTCCCCTTTTTCCCTCAGGAATCTTCAAAACTAAGTGTCTCCATGATGTACATTGTACATTGGTGACTGTCTTAGTTTCTTAGTGCTGCTATAACAGAAATACCACAAATGGGTGGCTTAAATGAACAGAAATTGATTTCCTCACAGTTTAGGAGGCTGGAAGTCTAAGTTGAGGGCACTGGCTCTAGGGAAAGGCTTTTTCTGTCCACTCTGGGGAAAGTTCTTGTCTCAGCTTCTCTAGCATTCTTCTTAGTACTACTTGGAGATCTCCAAGTGGCATCTACCTTTCTCCCATTTGTGTTTGCTTGCTTCTGTGACTGATCTGTTCCTTTTGTATTTTAAAAATGATTGATTTCAGACACACCCTACACTGATATGATGTCATTAACATAACAACAAAAACTATTCCCAAATGAGATTACGTCACAGGTATAGGGTTAGGATTTACAATACATATTTTTTGGGGGGCACAATTCTATTTACAACAGAGAATCATTCACTTTAGTTCTAGAAATAATGTGGAGGTCTCCACAGTGGCCTCTCAGTGAACCTGGGTTTTCTTTGCTCTCTCATCAAACATTTATTAAGCTCTGACTACATAGTGCCTAAGGCACTTGGCTGCTAACCAGAAGCCTGGCGGTTCAAACCCACCAGTCACTCCTTGGAAGGAAAGTTGGGCAATCTACTTCTGTAGTGATACTGCCTCGGAAACCCAAGGAGGGGTCGCTATGAGTCAGGTCTGACTTGATGGCACATAACAACAACAACATTGAGTGTAACCAAAATTTGGTAAATATCAGATAGGATTCTAAATTCCACCTCAATTTCAAAAACACATTCTCATCTAAGTATTCTAGGATCCTCTGCTGGCTCAGCACAAGTCCTTCATGGTATCAGGAGTCTGTGTGACTTATGCTGGGTCAAACTAGGAACTGCCCCTTTCAGATTCTCATCTCTAAGACCCCCTCCTACCAAGAGATGTAGTCAGCTCACTGTTCTACTCAGGAATTACTAGAACCCAACACTACAGGCTCACTATGGTCTTGGGTAGATAGAGGAGACTTCCTAGTGTCCTAGCACTCACCCCAGTGGTATGGGCAGTATCTTTGCTTCCTGTCTACCCCCCTCACTTTGTTAGTGAACCAAAAAAATCCCAAACTTCATATCATCAAGTAGATTCTGACTCATAGTGATCCTATGGGACAGAGTAGAACTGCCCCATGGCTGTACATCTTTATGGAAGCAGACTGCTTCATCTTTCTCCCATGGAGTAGCTGGTGGATTTGAGCTTCCAACCTCTGGTTAGCAGCCCAATGCTTTAACCACAGCACCACCAGAGCTCCTTCATTTTGTTAGTAGTAAAGCTTTTTCCTTTCCCTCCCTCAGCATCCTTTGTCTAAGCCCTCTGCAGGGCTATGGAGAAACCTGATCAATATAGTAGGAGGGCACCTCCAGAGCTTTTGGTCTATCTGTCCTTATGCTGGCCAGGTAGAGTCAAGGTGTCTCCTGGCTGAGTACTCCCCTTATATTCTCATTTGTAGAAATTCTGGTCCCTAAAACTTGACCCTTCAGGGTTCCTGGAATACAAATATAATGACTTGCAGCTCACAATTTTGAGATTTCTTCATAGCTCTTCTTCAAGATAGACAGACACATTCTTGTTTTCGTAACCACTGGACTACATAGGCATGATAGGATGAATAGCAACCCCCAATGATTTTTACCTTCTAAGCTCTGGAACCTATGAATATGTTACCTTTCATGGTAAAAGGGACTTTGCAGCTGTGATTTAAGTTAAGGATCATGAAATGGGGAGATGAACCTGGTAGGTCCAATAAATCACAAGGGTCCTTATAAAAAAGGAAGGCAGTATGTTCAGAGTCAATTAGAAGGATATGTGAGGATGGATGCAAAGGTTACAGAGAGACAGCTTTGAAGATGCCACACTGCTGGCTCTGAACATGGAGGAAGGGGCCATGACCCAAGGGCTGCAGTGGCCTTTAGAAGCTGAAAAAGGCAAAGAAGCCAATTTTTCTCTAGAGCTTCCAGAAAGGAACGCAGACCTGCTGATACCAGTGAGGGAGATTTTAGACTTCTGACCTCTAGAACTGTAAGATAATAAATTGCGTTGCTTAGGCTACTAAACAAACAACACCCTGCTATCAAGTCAGACCTGACTCATAGTGACCCCTCCTTGGGTTTCCGAGGTGGTATCACTACAGAAGTAGATTGCCCAACCTTCCTTCTAAGGAGTGGCTGGTGGGTTTGAACCACCAGCCTTCTGGTTAGCAGTCAAATGCCTCAGGCACTATGCTACCAGAGATAAGTTTGTGGTAATTTGTTATAGCAGCCATAGGAAACTAATACAATGGAATAAATCTCAAGTCTTTAATAGGGTACACTAGGGCCTTCAGGAGGCTTGAAGCTCTGGTAGTACAGTACCTAAGGCTTCTGACTGCTAACCAGAAAGTTGGTGGTACAAACCCACCAACCACTCCACAGAAGCGAGACTGGGCAAACTACTTCCATAAAGATTTACCACTTCTGGAAACCCACCGGGGGTCGATATGAGGAACTGACTCGATGACAGTGGATGTTTTGTTTGTTTGTTTGTTTAGGGCCTTCAGATTCTTACCTATGTGCCTCTCTCATCTCTGGGCACTCTCCCCTTATTTCAATTTGTACTTTAAAAATAGCAAAGACTTGTCTTGCTCTAAACATACCCTGTTCTCACCCTTCTCTGCCTCTGCAGAGTTTCCCCATCTGAAATGCCATCAGCCCTCTGTCTCCCATCTGTTCCTTTTAGACTGAGTCCAAATGCCCCATTTTCTAAGAAGGCATCACTGAGTCCCCCAGGTAGGTTATAGCACACCTTCCTTAGGATTGTGTAAAGTCCCTCACTCAAAGCACCCAACATATATACTATAATTTCCTTCAAGTCTGTCCCAGACTAGACCTAGAAGTGGGGGCCATGTGTTTAACTGTATGTTTCCATAAGTTAATAAATGGATAGATGGACATATGAAGGAACCCTTTCCTTTAAAAAGCTCACCTGTCTATTAGGGCACTGAGACATATACAGATAAATTATAAGGCACAGTAAAAAATCCTAAATACCTCAATGGAGGAAAAGACAAAACTCTTTGGGGTATACAGAAGAGAACAATACCTCAGGGCCCGCCTGCCTTTGAGAGGGGGTGGAGTTGTGGGGGAGAAGCGGAAGGATGTTGGGGGGATGAGTCACCCTAAGGCATCCTTAGGGCCACAGATGCACAGGCTGGCTCATTGCTGGTAATGACCTCAGTGCTTGACATAAACACTTAGGCATTTTCTGAAAGCCTATGTAGAATGCTACTAGTCTACTTGCCTCCTTAGTAGTGTCATCCATTTCCTTTGGCTCTCTAGTGCCGCCTAGCTGCTGTTGGAGGATCTGTGTCTTTACCTTCACAAACCCCTTCTATCACAGTCCAGGCTGAAAGCTCAGTGGCAAGAGGGACCTCCATCTCACTGTCCCACAAAGTAGAATCCTTCACCCACTTTTCCAAATTTACTCAGCTATCCTATTTTCCTGGAAATACACAGTACAGGTCACTCATGGAGAATCTTACTTCTACCAAAGGCTACTGAGCCACAGGGGAAAAATGTATTAGTTTTTACAAACAAAAACAATTGACAGACCTCAGTTACCTTCATGTTTTGAAAAATAAATAGAAAAAAAATAATTCCTAAACCTAAAATACAATAATATAAGAAATCTATTTTTCAGTTTCACATCATGGTCAGTTCAACAGAAGAAAAAGCATGAGGGGGAAAAAAAAAAAGAATAAGAAAGGCAGGGTAAGAGAAAGGAAGTGCCACGAGAGTTACGAGAGAAGGAGGAGACAAATTGTCCTCCTCCCATAATGATTTCATTCCTACTCCTATTTCAACAAAGTACTTGTTCCTTAATTCAAACTTGGAAATTGGATTTCAAGCTGTATTTTGTCCTGCATTTTTATGTCTGTGTAAAGATGGGCATGTACCCTAGATATCACAATCACTGGTGGGAGCAGAAGATTTGTGGGGTGAGGCTTCAAATGCAAGGGAGGCTGGAGAACAGATATAAGCAGTGCTATGTCATGCAGGTTGTTGATTTACTCAATTTTCGGATGGAAGTCTTTCTTTAGACAGGAAGGCTTTCCTCTAATATTTTCTTGCTGATTACTTCTGCCCAAAATTATTTTGTCCTCTAGTGTTCTCCTATTAGCTCTAAATTGTATCCCCTCATCTGGGAGCTCTGGTAGCATAGTGGCTAAGACACTTGCCTGCTAACCAGACAGCTGGCGGTTCAAACCCACCAGCCACTCCTCGGAAGGAAGGTTGGGCAATCCTACTTCCGTAGTGATACTGCCTTGGAAACCGAAGGAGGGGTCGCTATGAGTCGGGTTTGACTCGACGGCACATAACAACAACAACAATCTGTTCTCCATATATATATATTTGTTTATCTAGTCTCTCCTTTTTATCTACCTCCTTGTTTTCTGTTTCTTTAATTAATTCATAAATTCAATGTTTTGTAATGTCCAGCTGTCTATTAAATGCTCCTACTGGAGTTTTAAATGTAGTTATTTTCATCCTTATTCAGTATTTCTTTATCTAAGATTATGTCCTTTTCATAATGGAGTACTCTAGTTAACAGAGGCATATCCTTTAAATCCTGTTGACAACACCACTCAGATCTTCTAAAAACTTCTATTCTACTTCTGAGGAAGACAGTGCCTTCAAATCTTCAGAAATTTCTGGCGCATAAACAATATTTATCCTTGGTTTCTAGTGCATCTGTAGATTTTTCCATATTTGTTTATTCTATTGAGTATTTTAGTGAGAACTTGTGAAAGAAGAAAAGAGCTTATGCCCATGTTATACCATCATTGCCCAAAACACATGCTTCCTTTTATGAATGGTGTAATCTTATCAGCCAAACACTTTAATTATCAGTTGGCTACTGCATGGGGAAGTAGTTCAGTCATGTTGTTGTTGTTGTTGTTATGTGCCCTCGAGTCGGCCCCGACTCATAGCGACCCCTCCTTGGGTTTCCGAGGCAGTATCACTACGGAAGTAGGATTGCCCAACCTTCCTTCCGAGTAGTCATAGTCACTGGAATTCAGGATGGGAGTGTTGAGGGAGTAGTGGGATGAGGGGAGGCCTTAGGGGGAAGAGAAAGAGAAACAAGAGGCCAAGAGGAAAAGTGCCAAATGCTAAGACTATAAACTTGGATATATGTGACTCAATGGTAACCTAGGGCGTAACCAACAATTTAACATCACTTTCCCCCAGAGCCTATGGAACCCTTCTCCTTGTCCTGGGAGTCCCTTTCTTCTTCTCTGGATATTTCAGCTTATATCTTCCTTCCTTGTTTGAGTACACATATATTTAATTCAAATAATATAAAACACATTTGTATTTACTTTTTGTTTTCTCTTATTGTAAAAAGAAGTCCTGGTAGCACAGTTGTTAAAACACTCAGCTGCTAATCAAAAGGTCAGAACCTACCAGCTGCTCCATGGGAGAAAGATGTGGCAGTCACTTCTGTAAAGCCTTGAAAACCCTATGGGGCAGTTCTATTCTGTCCTATAGGGTCACTATGAGTCAGAATCCACTGCACAGGGCTTTTTCTTTTTCTTTTCTCTTCTTGTAAAAAGGTAAAGAGGGATGTTTTATATTTTCCTCCAGCAAAATGAAAGGAAAAGCATTTGTTTATTTATTTTTTAGGAAAAGCATTTTACATTGCGTCAAGCTCTGAATGGATTTTTCCCTGAGAACATGCAATTCCAAATAGGAAGGAAACAAAGATTGCTCATTTGTGATTAGGAAAAGAAATGACATCATCAAGATGAAGCGGGGAGTGGAGATAGGAAAAGCAGATTTGAGGGTAAGCGGAAAATTAGGTCCTTGAGGTGCTGGGGGAGTGACAGGGTGGATACAAGGGCTTCTGCTGCTGCTTAATCCACTCTGGCCCACTCTCCTTGCTGACAAGGAACACAAGTGGTCTCCTTCAGGACAGCAAGGAGGGAAGAACAGAGGGAGTCAGTTCACTAGGAAACTCTGCCTTTCATCTGACTCTTTAATAAATGGCACTGGAAGGAATCAGAAGAGAGCAAAACAAGAAATTTATCATATCCAGTGAAGCCTTTGGAGGGCCTGACCCTGCACAGTTCTCTCTAGAGCATACCTGTGGGATGAAGATGAAGCAGTTGATTGTGGTGGTGCAAACAAAGATGCCTCCCGACGTGAGTCCAAAGACCAGGTTGGGCCAGGAGTGCAAGTATCTGGTGACAACAAAAAGAAGCCCAGCAGCCAGCACCACGAGGTTGACCCCCACCATGATGGTTAAGGACTGGTTCACAGGAGGAGAGCTGACATGGTCAGTCAGGCCAGCCAGGTAGGCGCCATATAGCAGGAGTAGACCCTGGAGGTGAAGAACAGAACCAGAGGCTCAGGGAAGGGGAAAAACAGACCTGGAGTCAAAGAGCATTAGGACTGGAACCAATTTCCTCATCTGCAAAATGGGGATAATAATACCTACCATCAAGGGTTTACTTTATAGGATTTATGAAGACAGCAGAAGGGAAAACCTTTAATACAGCCTTTATACCTGGCAGGTGCTTAATAAATTATTTTCCTCTCCTTCTTCACTGAGAAGTAGTTTATCAGGGGTCACCATGTCAGCCACCAGGCAGGACTCTGCTGGGACAAGGCACAGGTCAGGAGCAGATAGGCTGGCAAGAGCCCTACATAAAGGGCTGCTGAGCGGTAAGAGGGCAGTGGGCACATCTCACTGTTGGTGGTTAGGGTTACTGTCTCTACTACGCAGCTGTGCATTACGTGAAGCTAAGGGGCATGTGGAAGCAAAAATTGACTTATAGTCTGCTTAAGCCATGCTCTGTGGCAGGTGCAGTGCCCAGAGGAAGGGGTTCCTTTCTCTGATTTACCCAAAGGTTCCATCTATTTGTTAAGGCCTGCAACTGCAGAACCACATCTGCCTAGATTGGATGCTTTTTTTTCTAACTCATGCAGAGGTTTTCCATAGTTAGCTCTGTGGCAGTGGGTGTTTATGGGAAATGAAAAATGGAGAAAGAGGAGAATTAAGGCAAGATGGGACTGAGGTAATATTGTTGGATAGGCACAGGCAGAAAAGGCTTCACCCTCTTTGTGACAATTTCTCCATTTTGAAAACCAGGGCCCTATTCTTCTGCCTCTTGCATAAATATAAACCTGCCCTAAGATTTCTCATTTATATGACGGTGACAATGACTCATAACATCTTAAAGTCCTGCTTCTTCTAGAGGGAGCTGAATTTAAACAGAAATCAAAGCTTGAAATCAGTAATATGTAAATTCAATAAATGTTCATCCATTTGACTATGTGCAAAGTACCATGCTAGGTGCAGGGCAAGAAACAGTGCTACAAGGAGGAGTAAGTCATGGTCCCAGCTTTCAAAGTGCTCTCTCTGGTAGGAGATTTAAGGTGAACGCACAAATGTTCATGTTTACAAGACAGTATGTGAAGATGGCCTGGTTGGGGGTGAGGGTAGAGTGAGAACTATGAGAAGAACTAATAATGTAGGTCAGGTAGGTCAGGTATCTGCAGGGCACCTGCCAGTGGCCCTGAAATCACACAACCTATCTGGTTCCACCTGTTGGAATAGGCCTAATTTTTTTTGTGTGTGAATTTACTATACCTGCAATGAAGGGGCCAACACAGCAGAGATGCCTTAAATCACCACTAATACCCAGTATCCCAAATGGGGCCTGACAAGCAAACACAGCCACTGTGAGATTTTCAACAACTCAAAGACACAAAAGTTGAGAGGTAAGGGGAGCCTGACTTTTGGGTAACTGACACCACCAGGTGGCATCTGGCATAGCTGGATCAATTAGTAATTTAATCAAAGGCTAATTGCCTAAGGCACTTGACTGCTAACGAGAAGGCTGGTGGTTCATACCCACCAGCCACTCCTCGGAAGGAAGGCTGGGCAATCTACTTCCGTAGTGATACCACCTTGGAAACTCAAGGAGGGGTCACTATGAGTCAGGTCTGACTCGATGGCACATAACAACAACAACAACGACAATGAATTTAAGTCTATGAGTTTGAACTGTTCAAACATAATCCTATTGAAATGTCTTACTTCCATTAAAATTCTTGCCAAAGGGAAATAAGTTTGAATAAAGCCTCAATACATCCATGACTCATATGAGTCACTTCTGATACTTGTATGTCACTCGCCTTCACATCTGAGAAGCCATGGGGTGGTGGGGTAGCGGACAGACTCAGGTGCAGGGGGTGGGAGGACTGCAGGTTAATGTGAAGACTGGGGTGTTCCTCAGGAGATCCTCATTGACTAGGGAGCCCACAGGGCTCGGCACTCTTTTCCCCTTTTGTTTCTTTGTCTTACAGAAAGATATTACTTTGTAAAATAAAAAAGAAATGGGATTATATAAAAGGCAGTGGAGAAAATAAATTAACTTGATTCATGAAGTGAATGGCTATGGGAAGTAAGGGGTTTTCGTGCTGAGGAGGACATGCTCTTCTAAAGAGTTTCAAGGAACTGGGAGAGGCAGTGTTTTTTCAAAACTGTCCAGGGGGGCAGCAGCAGGTTAATAATATCTGACATTTCTGAGTCTCTGCGATGGACTAGGAGTGGTTGAAAAGTCTACATTCATGAACCCTTTCAATGCTCAGAACAGTCCTGAGAGGATGTTATCATCATCTCCATTTTACAAATGAGGGAACTGAGGTTCAGAGAGATTAAATGAGATTTAAGATTGGCTAGAAAGGGGGCTGAGTCAGAACTCAAATCCAGTGCTGTCAGATTCTGAACACCACTGCCTTAATCTTTAGCAAGAAATGAGAGATCAAGAGGTCTTCACTATTTCTTCTTCTTTTTTTCCCCCCAAATTTTTTAATTTTAATTTGAGTGAAGGTTTACAGAGCAAATCAGTTTTCCATGTGTATAAATTTATACACATTCTGTTTCATGCCATCGATTATAATCCCCACCATGTAACATCACTCATCTCCCTCTTTTTGTGTTTCCTGTTTCCATTCTTCCTCCTTTCCTATCCCTTCCTGCCTTTTGAACTTCATCCTGGCAAATGATGCCCTTTTAATCTCAAATGGTTGATTGTTCTAAGGAGTGCGTACCTCCCTGGTGTTACTGTTCACCTTATAGACCTGTTACTTGGCTAAAAGTTGAGTCACAGGAAGAAGTTCATTCCAGGTTTGAAGGTTGACTTAGGGCCATAATCTTGGGGTTGCCATCAGTCTCCATCTGACCAGTAAGCCTGGTCTTCTTTATGAATTTTCTCCCACTCTATCCAGGATCCTCTAATGTAATCCTTTTCAGAGTGGTCAGTAGGGGTCTGAGCACCATCTAGTTCTGGTCTCAGGTTGTGGAGGCTGATATTCACATGGTTCATCAGTCCTTTGGACTGTTTGTTTCTATGAATCTTTGATTTTCTTTACTCTGGATAGGGAGAGACTGATAATTGCACCTTAGATGGCCACTCATAAGCTTTAAAGACCCCTGTTGCTACTTACCAAAGGATGATGTAGAACATTTTCTTTGTGGCCTATATTGTGCCAATGGACCCTGACATCCCCCAAGACTGTGGTCCAGCCTCCAGGCCCTCATTCCCTCTAGTAGCTCATTCCCTTATGGTGTCTGGTTATGGCTAAGAAGTTTTCATAACATTGCCTCTTGTATGCTTTGGGAGCTCTGGTGGCGTAGTGCCTAAGGCATTTGACTGCTAACCAGAGGCTAGTGGTTCAAACCCACCAGCCACTCCTCAGAAGGAAGGTTGGGAAATCTATTTCCGTAGTGATACGGCCTCAGAAACCCAAGGAAGGGTGGCTATGAGTTGGGCCCAACTCAACGGCAGAGTGTTCGGTTTTTGGTCTGTATGCTTTACTATACGCATGGATATATTGCAGCATATGTAAATACAGATGTAGATATATCCTCTGCCAAATCTATATGTATTCATGGGTGTAATCCCATTCTCCTTCCCATACCGGTTCAGCTTGTGTGTCTATCTATGTATCTGCACATAGACTATTGCTATTGCTATTATTGCAGGACTGTGTATATAATAGTATTTACCTCTGTTGCCTTTAACTCTTGTGCTCCTCTCAGTGTCTTCTTTTAAAAAATATTTTTATCACCATAATGTACATAGTTAAAAAGCAACAGTTTCCTGCCCTAGCCCTTCCCCCCTCTAGGCCTGCTTCTCAGATGCAAAAACATTTTCCTAGTGGTGAAATGAGTAAAGTTTGCCTTTAATGGTCACCTGTTTTTACAAGGAGCCCCTGAGTGGCACAAATAGTTAACTGCTGGACTACTAACCTAAAGGCTGGTGATTCAAACCTACCACAGGTACCTCAAAGGAGGCCTAGCAATCTGCTTCTGAAAAGTTATAGCCTTGAAAACCCTATGGAGCAGTTCTACTCGGCACACATGGGCTCACCATGAGTTGGAATCAACTTGACAGGCAATAACATTTTTACAAAAACTCCATCTTCTCTGCTAGCAATCAGCCAACCAAAACCTCTGCCCTAATAATCAATCGGCAGCCTTCTGCCATCCAGGGCTTGCTCTGTTCATTGAAACAGACCTGTATTATATCTCCTCTGAGCCAGAGTCTCTGTTCCTCCAAGCTGAAAGCCAGCTAAGAGGACAATCAGTTCTGATGGAAGGAAGATGCCAGAGGACCTCCCTTAGTGCCCTGTATAGGCAACCTCTGGAAATAATACCCCAATTTGGTTATCTACCTGAGACAAATGAATCTAATGAATGATGAGATATTCAGAGTAGTCAGGAGAAATGGGTGAGAGATCGGTATGAGAGACACTTTTAGGCAGCTGGAGGCTCTCATAGGGACCACGGATGTTATCATCTCATCCTGGGTAAGCTTCATTTCCAACCAGAGTGAGAAAGTCAGATGGGTCAATGATAGCAGGATGCCTTGACTCAAATCTTGAAGAAAGACAAACAATGGGCAAGAAAGATTCTTTTGAGGACAAATTAACTTTGGTAGAATGTCTCTTCACAATTTCCTTGGCAAAGGAGTTGGGGAGAACAGTGGTATTGCCAAATCAATTTAAAAACCAGATCAAGAAATGGAGAAATCAGTGAGTGAAGTCAAAATCACTCGGGGGAAGGGTGAATGAGAGAGATCTAAGAGTTGGAAATGTTCCCCCAAAATAAATAAAAAGTAGAGAAATAATAAAGGTTATGGCTTTGAGATTTATGCATCAACAGAGCTTTCCTCTGAGCTCAAGATTCTTCATAGAAAACACGTTAATAATTCCTGCAGTTCCCTCTTCATACCTATTTTGTTGGTGACAGATATAAACTGTATCCCAAGGAGATGGGGTTACCAACCTTACATCCCAAAATGAGAGCAATCCAGACATCAGAGTAGAGGGAAGCACAGAAGTGTGTGCTGGTCAGAGAGCAGGACACGTCTCTCCCTGTCACCTAGGAGGGACACAGAGTCAAGACTGAGGGCACCCACAATTACCAGGAACACACAGCTAATCTTTGTGACCATGTTGGGAATACCACTATGGCATATAATTTCCCCCTTAGTATGAAGAAACTAGGAGTCCTAGTGGTGCAGTGTTTAAAGTATTTGGATGCTAACCAAAAGGTCAGCAGTTTGACTCTATCAACCACTCTATGGGAGAAAGATGTGGCAGTTTGCGTCCATAAAGATTTACAGCCTTGGAAACCCTATGGGGCAGTTCTACACTGTCCTTCCTATAGGGTTGCTACGAGTCAGAATTGATGTGGACTTTGTTTTAGATGCAGAGACTAGGTGATGTAAAATATTAACATGAAAAAACATTAGCTGAGCCTGGCAGAAACTAAATGGGAGTGACTATGTGTGACTTGGAAGAAAAGACAACAAAGTTGGGCTGACATGTGAATGCTGGGCAGCAGCAAAGTTTACCCTTCAGTTCTGTCCTTTGCTCCAACATTGATTCAAATTAGTGCTTCATCAAAACTACAAATCATTTCAGACCATATATTCACAAACAGTTTAAACCTTAAACATTAAATCTGCAATGTAAAGATTCCATTGTATTCCTCAGCTCCTTGATGGAGACATAAACTATTTACTATTAATTGGACACTATGGACCAGGCACAGTTAAGTCCTTGACCTGCTTATTTCACTTTATCTTTACCACAAACTAATGAAATAGGTAGCATAATTATCTCCATTTTACCTATGAGGAAACAGAGACTTAGATGTTAAATAAGTTTTTCAAGGTCACATCTCAGAAAAGTGGTAGAGCTTGGATTTGAACTAGGATTGATTGACTAAAAAGACCACCTTAAAATGCCACATCTTAACAATCAGGGGGAGACAACTTCCCACAGCTGAAAGTTTTTTTTTTTTATTGGTAATATGGAAGCAGAGATAACTGCCATGCAGGTCCCAATGTGCTGACCTCTCAGTGGATGCCCATGAAAAGACACCTGGGGCAGGAGGAGCAGTGGGAGTGGTAGCACACCCTGCAGTCAAGGGGTAAGACATTCATAGCAGTCATAGCTCCTGATTCTCTTCCCTCTTTGGGTCATTTGTCTTCTTGTTGAGTGGACTGAACAGTGAATGCTGCTGAGAGAATGATCTCTGTGTATCCCCAGAGGCCAGTCCAGTTCAGGAACAAGATTCTCCAGAGACTGAACCCCTCACCTTCATACTGACACCGAGGATCTGAAGGCACTGGATGGGATCAGTCAGCACCCATGTCATGAGCAGGATCACATCAGCAATCACCAATGCTGCCACCAATCCCAGCAACTGCAGGTCTTTAATAATCTGCAAAAGAGTCAAGGTCATAACTTTTGCTTGCTCACTGGCTATATGACCTAGGGGCAGAGTGGCCCACATACTCTGAGCTGCAAGCTCCAGGGTCAGCCCTCCCTAGAAGCTTCATAACCAGTTAGCAAAGTATATTTTGGATCAAAAAATATTACCAGGAAAAAAACACCCCAAACCTACTGCCATTGAGTCAATTCTGACTCATAGCAACCCATATGGTTTCCAAGGCTGTAAATCTTTGTGAAGTAGATTGCCTCATCTTCCTCCTGCAGAGCAGCTGGTGGGTTTAAACCACTGACCTTCTGCTTATCAGCCAAATGCCTTGAATTACTGACCACGAGAGCTCCTAGTATTACTAGGATAGGGAAGATGATTTTAAAATAATAAAGGTGTCAATTCTTAAAGAGGACAGAAAAAATCCTAAATGTTTATATTCCTAATACTGGAGTTTGATGAAACAAAAACCAATAGAAATTCAAGAAGAAAATGTCATATCTTAATTATAGTCAGAAATTTCAATATGACTGTTGTTAGGTGTCATTGAGTTGATTTTTGACTCATACCCACCCTATGTGACAGACTAGAACTGCCCCATAGGGTTTCCATGGCTGTAATCTTTACAGGAGCAGAACAGTAGATCTTTCTCCCACAGAGCTGCTCTACAGGTTAGAACTGTCAACTGTTAAGCCACCAAAGCTCCTGAAGAATTTCAATCTCTCTCTCTGAATAACTGCTAGAACAAGTAGATTAAAAAAGTAGTATGGATAAGGAAGAGTTGGACCACACAAGCAACTAACAACCTCATTGATATTTATAGTACATTCTACCCAGTAACAGTAGAATACATACATGTTGTTTTTAAATCTTTTACCAAGAGAGATCATATTCTAGACCATAAAACAAGTCTTAATAAATTTAAAATAATTCAAGTCAAACAAAATGTGTTCTCTGACTACATGGAATAAAATTAGAAATCAGTAACAGAAAGATTTCAGGAAAATCTCCAAATATTTGGAAATTATAGAAGCCATTTCTTAATAATCCAACTTTATAATGACAATTTGTTTAAAAATATGGGTCAAAGAAAGAAATCAAAAGGAAGACTAGAAAGTATTTTTATCTGAATGAAAACAAAATCAAAATTTGTGGGATGTCACTAAAACAATACTTAGGGGAACATTTGTGGCACTAAATGCCTATACTGGAAAAGAAAAAAATGATCTCAAAGCAGTCACTTCAACTCTCACCTTAAGAAACAAAAATGACATGAAACACAATGTGTATGAACTGTTGAATGGAAAATGGATTTGCTTTGTAAACTTTCATCCATTAAAAAAAAACAAAACTTTCATCCAAATCTCTTTCCCTCTCTCTCTCACACATACAAAGAAACTAAAATGAGAGAACAAATCAAAGATAAAGGAAATAGTAAAGATCAGAGGAGAAATCAATAAAATAGAACACAAAAAATAATAGAGAAAAGTCAGTGAAACTATTAACTAATTCTTTCAGAAGATCAGTAAAATTGATCATCCTTGAACAAGACTGATCAGACAAAAAAGAGAGAATACACAACTGCCCAAATAAGGAATTGGAGAAGTGACATAACCAAATATTCTACAAATATTAAAAGGATTATAAGGAAATATGAATAACTTTATGCCAATACATTTGAGAACTTAGATGAAAAGGATAAATTCCTTGTAAGACACAAACTACTAAAGCTCACTGAAGGAAAAAATGGGTAACTTATATACCCCTATATCTATTTCAGCTCTGGTAGTGTAGTGCCTAAGGCACTTCACTGCTAACCAGAAGGCTGGCAGTTCAAAACCACCAGCCACTCCTCATAAGGAAGGGTGGGCAATCTACTTCGGTAGTGATACTGCCTCAGAAACCCAAAGAAGGGTTGCTATGAGTCAGGTCCGACTTGACGGCACATAACAACGACAACATATCTATTTCAGAAATTGAATTTGTAGTTATAAACTTCTTACAAATAAAACTTAAGGACCAGATGCTTTCACAGAAAATAATTAATGAAGAAATAAAAACCAATTCTATGCAAGTTTTAACCAAAATTGAAGAAGAGGGAATACCTCTACACTCATTTGGTAAGGTCAGAATTACTTGATACCATAACCAGAAATTACAAGGAAAGAAAACTAAGACAAATATCCCTTAAGAACATAAATGTACAAATTCTAAACAAAATTTAATGAAAAGAAATCCAACAATATATGAAAAGGATAATGTGTCATGATTAAGGGTATTTATCCCAGGAATTTAAGGTTGGTTTGACATCATAATCCTCTAATGTAATTCACCATACGTATGAACTAGAAATATAACACCATATGATTATATCAATAGGTCCAGAAAAAGCATTTGACAAAATCCAACATCAATTCTTGATAAAAACTCTCAGCAAACCAGGGGTGGAAGGAAACTTCTCGTTCTGGTAAATGGCAATAAACAACAGCTACAGTAAAACTAAAAAAAAATTTCTCACAACCAGACCAATAAGCATTTATATAGTTTAAACATGTGTAATTCATTGCATGTCAATTATACCTCAATAAAGCTACTTTTTCAAAAAGGAATCACTGTTCTAAGATGGATGAACTGTTTGCCCTTTAGGCTATTTTCTTCACATGTACGCTTACTATCAGCTGAGGATTTGATAAATATCCAGTATCATTTAATAACATGCTCTTAAAAACATCCCATCATTCCATAGAACTAAAGTTCCACCTGTGACATACTGAGTTTGGGCAGGGCCTATAGCCAAAGAAGCTGATGGTCAGGCTTTGAGATTCAGGCAGCCCTATTAGGGAACCTGATAAAATGTGAGAATGTGATTTGCATGACATCTGATATTTCAGGGACATGTAGGTTGTCCTTTTCCTTGCTCACTGTTCCAGGGAATGGCTTTCTACATGGAAAAGAATTGGGCTCTAGTGAGGGAAACAGATGTGCTTCTCTGTAGTCCTCATCCCTCCTCCACTTCCAGCTCATATCTGTGCTATGCTGCATCTTTCTGGGCATCTTGTTCCTTCTCACAATGATGCCAGATCAGTACCAGGGGTGCACATGAAGCAGAGCCCCTATTCAAAGACTTACCACCCAATAGCACTGAGACACAGCCTTTGAGGCATGGAGATATCTGAAACCACATGACTCTAAGTTTTGAAGTGAGGAGAAGGAACTTTAGATGTAAAAGGGGCCAGACCCAGTAATTTGGCATAGGCTTCTCTAGTTTATAATAAATAGTGGAGCTGCTGCCTATGATCAAGCAGGGTGCACCTGCTGTCTACTCACCACTCTCTTGTCCGGGAGTCTCTGGGTAAACACCTTGTAAAGTCGCCAGCTCTTCCCCAGAATGGGGCCAAACACCAAGGAGGTCCCAATGCACAGCATGCACAGTCTTACCTGTAGATAGAAGTGGACAGAAGCAAGAATCATGTGAGGAACCTTTGTTGGCTCTCCACACATTCTGATCTACAAAGCCTCAGTCCCACAGAGGGCACGGGGTAGATATGGACCACAATGTCTAAGCATTCCAAGAGCTCCTGTGAATGTGCTCACACAAAGGATAAAGGTAACCACCATCCATAGGAGAGGCTGATTTTTAAAAACCTGCCAAAATGTTACCATTATAGAAGGATATTTGAAACAAAAATTTAAAACTTACATACCTGAATGAGAGTTTCTACTGAGCTTCCCACTAACACATCTTGATCCTGAATCCCAAAGAGGTACGCACTACTGTAGGTCAGACAACTGCCCAGTAAGGTCACAATGTTCAGGTTGGGACTGGACATCTTCACAATCCTAGAGGCAATCAGGAAGAAAGACACTTACAGCCAGGACTTTGGGTGTGGACAGAACAGGCCCACCCCCAAAATCTCCACTGCAACCTCAGAGAAGGAGTACTGGGAAGAGAGCACTTTACAGTCCTGGGTTAAAAACTTGTTATGGTTTCTTTAAATTTATTTTTTAAAAAATACGTTTTATTGAAATATAATTAATGTACAGTGAAACACACAAAACTAAAGTGACATGGGTCAGTGCTGATGTCTTTAAATTTACTTTTAAAAAGAACTAAATTCTGGCACTTCTTGCTTATGTAATTCCAAGTCTTTTAAGAGAAGCCTGACTACTTAAAAACAGGTGGTATCAGAGGAGAGTTAGGCTTTCATCCACGAGGTCTACAGTTGCTAAGGGTCCACTATATGCAGCTTAGTGAATAAACAACTAGCAAGTAGTTACTTAGAGATACAGTTTGGAGATTTCAGAAGTGAGTTATTTGGAAAATGGTTCAGAATTTTTTTCATACACTTAATTATCAACTTTTTTTTCATCAACTTATTTGGTATGCAAATTGTTTTCCTCCCTCTAGTTGACTAAGAGGAGCTCTGGTAGCATAGTGCCTAAGGCACGTGAGTGCTAACCAGAAGGCTGGC